AACTTGGCAAGACCTCATCTCTACAATAAATCAAAAAATTAGCTGGGTGTGGTAGCGCGCTCCTGCAGTTCCAACTACTTGGAAGGCTGAGGCGGAAGGATCGCCGGAGCCTGAGACTCCAACTCAAAAAACAAAAAGAAAATAACAAATTAGCCAGGCATTGGTGGCGCATGCTTGTAGTCCCAGCTATTCAGGAAGCTGAGGTGGAAAGATTGCCTGAGCCCATGAGGTCAAGGCTGCAGTGAGCCATGATCATGCCCCTTCACTCCAGCCTGGGCAATAGAGTGATACCCTGACTCAAAAAAAAAAACAAATATAATACAATGCAATAGAAAAACTGTATATTTCAGAATACTGAGGTTGATTTTCTGGCTTTCATAGTTTTTTGGTTTTGGTTTTGGAGTCAGGGTCTCACTCTGTTGCTCAGACTGGAGGGCAGTGGCACACTCACAGTCACCCAGCCTCGATCTGCTAGACTCAGGCAAGCCTTCCACCTCAGTCGTCCAAGTAGCTGGAACCACAGGCACACGTTCCACGCCCGGCTAAGTTTTTGGTGTATTGTAGAGATGAGGTCTCGCCAAGTTGTCCAGGCTGGTCTCGAACCCCTGAGCTCAGGTGATCCTCTCGCCTCGGCCTCCTGAAGTGCCGGGATTACAGGCTTGAGACACCGTGCCCAGCTGGTTTTCATAGTTTAATGAATGGTATGCTGAGGTATTTAGGGTTGAAGTGTTGATATTTGCAATTGACTTTCAAACGATTCTGAAAAAAAATGCATGTGGAATACATACACACATATTGCAATTCGGGGCCAAAAATTGACAATTGGTATATTTCGCGAAAGGGCGTATGGATACTAATTAAACTATTCTTTCAACTTTTTCTGTAGGCTTGATAATTTTAAAAATAAGAAAAATGTGGGGGAAATTTTTAAAAATAACAATTGTCTCAAAAAAGAAACACATTCTAGCAAATAATTTCAGTGTTTATTTTCTCCCTGTCTTTTGTTTTGCTATCCCAGGTACACTGTCAGCTTCTTATTAATCATCACCCAACTGGGCTTCTGCAGTGTTTATTTTATGTTCATGGCAGATAATTTACAACAGGTAAAGAGGCCTCTTTTGGGCAGAGTGGGGGAAAGCAGACCTGATGCTTGGGCTATGTGAGCAAAAGTATAGAGTTCGGGTCATGGGAGGAGATGGCTTTATTTCTGCTCCCCGATCAGACCACTTGGGAGTTCTCTCAGTCCTAGCAGTCATATTTTTTAAAAAGTATCATAGAGGAGCCAAAGTGACTTCTGAAGAGTGTAACCAAGGTGAGGAGAGAGGCTTACAGTCATGTCCAATCAGAAATTGAGAGTACAGGTGAAAAATTTTTTTTTTTTTTTTTGAGTTGGAGTCTCACTTGGTCGCCCAGATTGGACCCCCATCCCTGCTCCCACCCCCCTTTTTTCTTTCTTTCTTTCTTTCTTTCTTTCTTTCTTTCTTTCTTTCTT